TTTTTACTATAAAAAGCATATATTCAGTATTTTTTTATTTTATATTTTTTAAATCTTATAAAGTAAATTTCCTTTTATCTTTTGTTTTGTGTTTGCATTTCATACATTTTTTATTTTAAATATCACAACGCCTTTATCTTTTTCGTTAAAGTGTTTTTTATTTGTTTTTTGTAAAAAGTTTTTGCAACTTTTGTAAAAAATAAAATAGAAATTATAGAAACTAAAATCAGGAGGAAACGTTGCCATTTTATACAAAATCATTTTGCTATAAACTGATTTGCTTATAATGTTTAACATTATTATACTTTGCCTTTTTATACGAAAATTGCACAATTACAAATTTATTTTTGTTTTTGTTATTAACATATAAAATTAAAACAAAAAAAATTATTTATTAAAATATAGCAGTTATAGTTAAGGTAATAAAGTTGAAATTAAATAATACAAAAAAGAAAATTTAACTGTTAATTATTTTATTTAGTAAATCTTTAAAAATAATAATACAAAATCTTTTTGTAATTTGTTACATTTACAATTAAGAAAATACTTTTTATAAAAATATTTTCGAAAAATACAAAACATCAAATTTAACAAAAAACATTAAATCTTAAAATACTTTTAAAATATTTTATAAATATTAAAAAATTTATATATGTATAAATTTTTAATTGATTCTTATAAAGTAATTTCGCTAAATAATTCGTTTTATAAAAAAGTTTTAAATTTAATTTTTTATAATTATTACAAAAATAATTTTCTTAATATTACAAACAAGTTTTTCTTATATAAAAAAAAAACACAAAATATTTAACTGACTTGTTTGTTGTTGTTTGTTTTTAACTACACTAACTTATATATTCTTTTAAAGCATTCAGAAGTTACAAAAAACATAAAACGAAAATATAATTTTAACAAATAATTTTACTTCTATTTCTATGCGAAACATTTAATATTTAATATTTAATAACTTTGCAGCCATACAGCCAAGACCAGCTTTGTTGATTTCATGCTCCAGCAACTTCACGCCTCCAACTTCATTGCAGGCAACAACTTGGTTTAGTTTGTTTCTATTGTTATAAACTAACTAATTTGGATGGTTCGCTTGTGGGTGTGGTCAGCTCAAGTGGATGCTTGTTTTGTGAGGAGCATGTTGGCACTAATGGACCCGACACTGGTGTCAAGCCAGTACCACCATCCATCAGGGAATCGAAATTTAACATGCCTGTCGTTGGTGTTTGTATAGGCACTCCATTTATATTCGTAGACATGCCGTCCACATGCAGAGCGGCTAAATTCCGTGGCATAGTGGGCAATGAATTTGGTCGTTGTCTACTGCTATTTGGTTGCTTATTCAATGCGTTCAATGTTGTGTTGCTAAATGAAGCGAAACTTACTGGTGCCGTAGTGACAACAGGCGTATTTAATGAACCTGAGGCAGCAGCTGCCAAGGATGCTGTGATTGTTGCCATATGTGGTAATGTTGGTGGTATCATTGGTATCATTGGATTATTATTGCTGAGCAGAAGACGCTTTGGTAATGTTGGTCCATCATCGTCGTTATCAAGTGATGAATTCATGGAATCGAGTGTGTCGAGTGGTTCATTTTTGATATGCACCATATCGCCAAATACGCTCGTATCGCCCAAGATATTTGGCTTAAGATCGAGTGGTGACGCAGAACGTCCAGCAGAGGATAGTGTTGTATCTAGACCTGTTATAGTACCGGTGCTGTCATTGCTATTGGTATTTGTCGGCGCAATAAGTCCACCAATGGTATGTACTGTTAAGATATCGCTTTGTATTTTCTGACAGGTGGAACGATGTGCTTCTAGTACATATTCTAAATCACGTTTTACGCCATTTAGATTTTCAATTTCTTTTTGTAAACCTTCTCGTTTCCTCTCAAGCTGTGCAACTTCATCCAGCAATTCATTCGTCTGATCGACGCGTCGTTTACGACAACGTGCTGCAGCTAACTTATTACGTTCACGTCGTATGCGTCGCTTTTCTTCTTCTTCTGGTGTCATATTTGTGTCTTTGGCTGGTCGGCGACCGCCTTGATTACGACGTGGTGTTGTTGTGGCACTGATTGAGGTATTATTCGTTGAATTGCCCAAAAGGCTTGTTGCATTTTTAACTGATGCTTTCGATGCTAAAGCTATATTTATGGCGGTAAAATCATTTGTGGACGATGCATTTGAGGTAGCTCCAAACGAATTATTGATTAAGCCAGTAAAAGAAGCGGTATCAGTTGCGGCACTTGCTGTTTATATATAAAATAAAGAAAATTTTATTAATATAATTGTTATCGTAATATATATATTAAAAATATTGACTTACAAGTATCAGTAGTGGCCATAGAATTCTCTTCATTTAAATGGTTGGCATTCCAAGATGCTTGTGAATCGACATCGGATTCAGTTTCGTTGGCTTCGCTTGTGGAATATGGTAAACAATAAGATGGAGGGACAAAACCAGCCTGAAAAGGTGCATTGATTGGTTCATTTGTTAGTTGTATAAAGGTATCTTCGATGCTGCGTAAAGTTGTCGGTGTTAAGGTGGGCGTTGTCAAGGTGGGCACGCCACTTTGTATCCCATCCACAGAAACGAGCTAAAATGATAAGAAAATTGGATAATTAATTTTTGAAGAATATATAAACATATATATAAATATTATTTAATTTTACTCAAATGAATATTTTAATATTGCACAAATTTATGCTATGCATTACACGATTTTATATATTTAAAATTAAATTATTATTTTAAATTTTTAAATTTTGAAATTTTAAGTTATTAAAAATTAAATTAAATTAATTAAATTAAATTTTATAATTAATATTATGTATTTAAAATTATATTTAATAAAATTAAATTTTAAATTGTCATTTTTCTTCTACATTCTTATATTACATATATAAACAAAGTAATAAAGAGTATATGAACCTAGGTTATTAAAAAACTTGAGACAATAATATAATACTTTAAATAATATAATTTTGATTTATATATATAATAATAGTATATATAATAATATATTATATTTATTATTAAGATATCGCGAGGCAGTTATGTTCCCGAGACAGTCGTAACCGTATGCCGAAGTTCTTTGCTATCGACATCCAAGCTCTATTTTCCTTATAAGCTAAACTTCCTCAAATACGACAGAATAAGACGGGTTTCAACAAACGGGTTTTAAACTAAATACAACAATTCAGTATCAGAGATAGAGCTCCAAAATTATTCACTAAAGTTGATACGCTACTTAACCCCGCCCTAACAATCCTCAAGTCCACTTCTGGACTCTCAGGATGATATGCTGATTTAAGGTCCGTCATCAACTAAAAGACAAATAAATGATATAATTTCTTAGCCTAGTTAAAGCCTAGTGTGGGGTAGAGATAAGCCCCCCAGCCATTATAGAGTAAAAGTGCTTAATAGCACTAACTCAAGAAGTAGAATCAAGAAGAAGAGTATACTTTAAAATAAAAGTCTGAAGTTATCAGCTTGAATTGAAGTACTCATAGACGTATTATTAGTTGCTAAAACTATACTTATTGCAATGAAATAATTTGTGGACTTTATGTTTTTGACTCACCAAAGAGTTATAGTAGATTAACTAAAAAAAATATATGTACTTGTCAAACAATAAAATATGAGATTATCAAAAAGATTATTTAAGGTAAAGTTGAAAGCTAATTAGTTTAGTGAATGATTTAAGAGGGTTCTAGAAATGCTACCTTAGTGGGGTCTGTTGTTATGTTGAATATATGAATTAGAAATATAATTTACAAAACTTTTTGAGTTCCTATTGGAGAGAAGGCTTAACAACATTTACTTGTATAATAAGTTTAATATCTCTGATCACTCTTGGAACCAATGGTACTTATAGGACTAAAATTCCAATTTAATCTATTTAGCTATTTTTTAAAGAGAATTTTTTACTTTAGCGATGTGTAAATAAACTATAAATTAAAAAAAAATGGATGTTTTTTTTTTATTATTACTGATTAGTAATTTTTAGAATATAAAAAATATTTCCGGCTTCAGTTCAAAGTTTATTTTGGATTCATTATTCTGCTCTCTACCATTTTGTTCTTTGATATGAAGACAGGTGCGTTTTTAAGAATTTTAGAGAAGAGAGTGGGTGTTTCCTTAATCTACAATATGTTTGAGTACTTAAAAAAAAAATGATGTTGCTCTATTTCATTTATAATTTGTTCTAATTTTTCTTTTAAGTATAAAAAAAAAGCACGTGCATAATTTCAACTACACTAGTTATACTGAATTTCGTTTTGCTGATTATAGGGTATATAATTACTTAGTATAATTACACATATGTATGAATTAATATTAATTCTACTAAAATGTAGGAAATTCCCATAACGTACTATTTACATAAAAATAAACAAATTAGCAGTAAAGTTTTTGCCTTTAAGTGCTTCAGTATTTCAACGGCTGATTTGAATACTGTATGCAATAATTTTCAGCACGAACGATCCGAATCGTTCGTTTCAGTTTCTATAAAATGAATTAAATAATTTTAATCTTTGTGCTACTACTGCCCACATAAAACAAATAAATACTCAAAGAAAAGTTCAGAATAAATAAAATAAAATTAAATAAAAAAAAAATTCTTTTTTGTATAGAACAATAAAAACAATTTCATATCGTTTTCTAGGAATTAAAAGTAAAAACAGAAGAAACCGACTTAAAGCATTTGTGTGAACGATAAAATATTTGAAATTATATATATATACAATATATACATATATATATATATTGAATATCCGGCGTTTATATTCAATTTCTCTTAGTTTTGTAAAATAGAAAAATCGTTTAGGTACTTGATTTTGAGTGTTTAATACCCAGCTGAAATAATGACCGATTAATGGAACAAACATGACATTGAATAGTTTAAATATCTATAAAGAAAATATAGGATTATCTAATAAATTGTATATAGTACGATTGTAAAATATAGGTATCAAAATACCATGAATTTAAAATTTTTTGTATATATAAAATATACATTTATTATCATAGATATGGAGAGTTTAAGAAGGAGCGAGTAAAACGAAAATTTCAAAAAATTTTGGAGAGCAAAGATACGAGTACCAATACCTTTTTTTATTAAATCATTAATAATAATTATTATTATTAATATTATATATAAGCAATTCCAAACAAAGAAAGTATAAGCCTGAGGCCTGTTATAATTAGGGTATGTACCTCACCTGCTTCATCATTTGATTGTAAGCCATCTCCTTTCAATGATAAAATTTTGGAAAGCAATGATGCCAACACCTTTTTTATCAATCCATTAATTATTATTATTATAATGTATTAGCAATTTCAAACATAGAAAATATAAGCTTGGGGCCTGATGTGATTGGGGACTTTAACGTATCTTCTCAATCATCTGATTGTAAGCCATGACCAACCTTACAAGATTTTTTAATTTGATTGTGTCTAACTGTCCAGCCGATTTAACGCAGTAGAAATTTTCTTTGGACTTAACTTTTTGTTGGGAGAGAGGCAGAGAGTAACACTTAAGTTTTTCAGAAGTCTCTATTGTAGTAGATTTTACTTAAAAAGATTAAATGAGATTATAATATATTCTAAATGATCGGATTTTAAAATTTCCAATAGCTTGAACTTTTAGATAAGATGAAATAAGTAAATACTTGGAACCATCAGTTATAAATTAATAATTCAAATACTGAAAACTCTAAAATTTGTTTGGAACCGGTTAGATACTTTTAAGTTAAATAAATTACAATTTCCAAATAATTTATAGTTATAGAGCAATATATGGGTTTTTTTTTATTTGGCTATAAGTTATTAGGTCATCTGTAATTGACCTCAACTCATTGAAGTATAAGTTGAGGTATTGAAGCGTATGTGGTGCATAGCTGGCAAGAAGTTAGAGGAAAGTGTGGTAGGGATTGAAATATCAGGGAGTAGGTTATGCAGCTGGGTGATTTACTATCAGGCAGCCGTCAGGAGGTACTCCTCGATGCGAGTAATCCGAGATTGCTTGTAAAGCATGAGGTTGGAGAAATATTTACCGTCAGGTGTTTGCTTGTAGTTTGTGCAATTATGGAGGAACTTACGCTCAAAAAGACGGATTATTTATATTTGAGCTGAACTGATTGCAGTGAATATAAAAATTATTTATTTATTTTGTATATTTCAAACTTTAAGTTCGAATTTTTTATAAATAATTGTAATCTAAAAACAAATGAAATTATTTAGAATTATGTTACAAGTTTAACAATTCTAAATTTTTCGGAATCAAAACAATAACTTTTCAAAAAACAGTGTTTATTATTATAATAAAATGATCATAATATTTAACTCAATTCTTGGTATCAATTAGTTGATAGAACTTGACTATTTTAAACTTTTTTGTTTTGTCTCTAAATAATGTATCTCATAAAATGTTTTATAGGAAGCTTATTTTTTTTTTCTTAAATTGCTAAAAACGCCTACGAAAAATAATTAATAAAACATCTGCTATAAACAATTAATGTGGTAGAATTTCAAAAACAGAATAATAAATGGTATGGAATGAATATAGAATTGAATTTGCCATCAAATGATTAAAAATTTTTGTTATAAAATATAGTATATATGAGTATCTAAAAATTTTATGAAATAAAAATCTAAATAAAAAATTAATTCAATAAATAATTTAAATGACAGATGTGCAAAGTGCAATATATTTGAATATATTAGCAATATATGTTATCATGTTTACTATATATAAATACAAATATATGATATTAATAAATGTAAAATTAAAATAAATTACTAAAAAATTAAATATTTTTCAGTCCTAGACTATAGTAAAACGTCTTAGAATGAAAAGATTTATAGCTTTATTGATATATCTTTTGAAACTATAAAACAGAAATGAAGACAACTTCAATATTAAAGAAAGATAAGGGACTTTGAGCACAGATTCAGTAATTACGAATTAATCTAAAACCAATAGAAATCCAGAAGAAGGACTTCTTAATTTTTAATTTTATTGAAGACAACTTCAAAATTAAAGGAAGATAAGGGACTTTAAGCACAGATTCAGTAATTACGAATTAATTCAAAACCAATAGAAAGTTAGAAAAAGGACTCCCTAATTTTTAATTTTATTGCGGGATAAAAAATTTAATTTTTTTGTCAAAAATAATATAAACATTTAAGATTAATAAAGATAATCTATAATAAGATAAAGATTAAAGATTAATTAATTTAAGTTTAATTAATAACAAAAATCAAATTTTAAGGAGATAGAAAGAGATGTTAAAAAAAGAGAAAAAAGAATTCAGTTTGAGTAAAATAGAGAAAAAAATTTAGGGCAATTGAGAAAGAGAGAGATATATATATGGACAGAAAGAGATATATATATATATAGACAGAAAGAGAGATAGATAGGCAGAAAGAGAGAGAGAGATATATAGATAAAATTAGAGAGAGAAACAAAAAAGAAAGCCATAGACAGAAAGAGAGAGATAGATAGATAAAATTAGAGAGAAATAAACAAAAGAGAAAGACATAGACAGTAAGAGAGAGAGAGAGAGAGATAGATAGACAAAATTATAAAGAAACAAGCAAAACAGAGGGGGAGAGAACGGCAGAAAGAGTAAGTGTTTATCTGTTAAACGTGAAAAGTCGAAGAATAGTAAAAATTGAGAGCGTAAAGCTAAAATATTTTCTTCTATTAAAATATTTCTAATAGAAAAAATAGATGGAGCTAAAGAAACTTAGTTCAATTTTATCTCAACAAATAAAGAAAAAGAGGGCAGAAATAAAATTAAATAAAGCGAGAAAATTAAATTAATTTAGATATGCTTTTAAATTCTTAATGCAAATTAGCCATTAAAGAAATCATTTTTGAAAAATGATTTTCGTGGTGGACGATAAATTGCTTGTTAGTTTGTTAGTTCCTTTGAGGGCAACAAAACTAATGATGGCTCTATTTAAATGCAATTTCACAATATCAAAATTGCGCGAAGATATTTTAAAATTTTAATGCAAATTAAATGTCATCAACATGTATGTGTACCTGTTGCATATAAAGCTCATTGGCAAGAAAGTTTGCAATTTCGCAAGCATCCATTGTAAATTTCTCATTGCCAGCGTTGCCAGCAACAATATTTTGTGAAACTGCAACAGTAACAGCATTACCACCAGTTGTTGTAGTAATATTTTCATATTGTTGTTCTTGCTGTTGTTGCTGCTGCTGTTGTTGGTGTAATTGCAATTGTTGCAAATGATAAAAATGTTGTTGCTGTTGTTGTTGGAATTGCAATTGTTGCTGTTGTATTTGTTGCAAGTTCGTAGTATTTTGCAGAAGCAACGATGACGAAGATGATGAAGATGATAGTGGTGTTGTTACTGTTGTTGTTGATAAATTATTTGCATTATAATTATTAAAATTATTTAAACTATTATTGTTGTTGTTATTATTGTTGTTATTATTTTGAAAATTTATGTAATTAAAATTAAATTGATTTTGTATAAAATTTGCGGTATTTAATGCAGCAGACATTTGTGCGTTGTTGCGTTGCGTCGGTGCAATAGTATTGGCGGGTGCGGTAGCAATAGTGTTAATATTATTTTTAACAATTGTTGTATTGTTGTTACTACTACTATTATTGTTATTATTATTATTACTATTGTTGTTGTTGTTGTTGTTGTTATTACTATTACTATGGGGAACAGCTAAATTGTGTTTTGTTAAATGCAAGGGAGCGGTTTCTTTAATTTGCTGTTGTTGTAGGTGTTGTTGTTGCTGTAAGTAATTATAATATGTCGCACGTAGGTGTTGCTGCGATTGATGTAATTGTTGCTGCTGTTGCTGTTGATGTTGTTGCTGTTGCTGTTGTTGTTGGTATCGTATATTAGTTTGTTGTTCTAAATTTGATCGTTGCTGATGTTGCTGGTTATAGGTTAATTGTTGTAACGGTGTTGGTGGGCTTGATTGTTGTTGTTGTTGAAGTTGTCGTTGTTGCTGTTGCTGTCGTTGTTGTAGCTGTTCTTGTCGTTGCTGTTGGTACACTTGGTACGTATTAAAATTTATGTTTTTCATATAGGTTTCGTAGGTTTACTTGTTTGTAAATTATTTAATAAATAATTATTGTATTAATTTTTAATTAAATTATTTTTGAATAAATTATTGTATATTCAATAAATTATATATAAGTTTTTGCTTTTGGGCGGATATTTGTACAAAAGGTTTGTCATCAATTGTATTATATATTGGAAATTAATTTTTTTTTAAATATTTATGTGCGTTTATTTCTTAATAAATATATAATTTAGTTAAAAAAAAAACAATTTGTAAAAATATAAATTATATAATTGTAGTTTTTATGTATAATAAATAAATTGTTTTAAAAAAAATAGTTTGTAAAAATTTTTTAATATATTTATAATATATTATTTATATGAAAATGACTAGGAACTAAGTCTTTTTTTATAGAACTTTAAATAAAGTTTTATTCGGTTTAGTTTCGTTTTATTGTTTCGATTTTAATTTAATTTAACAAAGTTTTTAACTAAAAATTCTTCACAACTATTTAAAATAATTTCACTTATAGATAAATGTGGACACTTTACTTACGAAGTAATTTTATTTAAATTTATATTGTTAAATTCCTTAAATAGCGGTATATAAAAAATTTAAATATTTCGTAAGTAGTTTAGAAATTTATTAACTATTTAAAGCTATTTAGTTGTGTTGTAGTATTTGAATATATTATATATGGTATATAGATCAAATATAATAACATTAAAAATATCGATTGGTTCAATGTGGGTTTTAGAACCAACTAGTTTTAACTAATAAATATTACTTAGTCTTTTAATCTTTACTAAAATAAATTTAATTATTTGATATACACATACAAAAAAATATTTTGGTATTAGCATATAACAACTTTAAAAGCAATAGAATAACGGAAAAGGCTGTAAATACTTAAGATAAATTTTTTTTTAAGATGACTTAAATATTAATATTCAATATAATAGAATAATTTTTTTTATCTTACAAGTTTGTCAGTTTTATTTTGATAAATTATTTAACAAACTTTAAGGTAAATTGAACTTATATCGAAGTCTTGAAGCTTATTTTTAAAAACTTTTAGACACTCTAATAAAGTAGTTTTTTAAATAAATGTATCTATAACAAAACTTTAAGTTTTATTAAAAAAAAATAGTCACTTTAAACAAATTTTGATATGTCTTTGTCTATAAAAAATTAATATATAAGCACTTTGCTCAAATAATTATTTTTTTATTATATTTTAAATCAATATTTATTAAAAAATATTAAATATTTTATTTCAAAATTTAAGTAAATTTGTTAAATTAAACAAACTCTATATAGTGTTATTAAAAATATTTTAAAAAATTATAAACAATGTTTTTCTAAATTAAACAAATTCTATATAGTTTTTTTTTAAATATTTTTAAAAAGTTTGTAATTTTACTATTTTTATTATATATAAAATTTGAAAAAAATATTTATTAAAAAGTAATTTATTTTTGATTACTTAGAATTAGATAAATTTTAATTGAACGTTTTTTTATTTAAATAAAAATTTAAGTTATCATATATATTTATATATATATATTTTTCGTTTCATTTATTTTTATTTTAAGCAGTTATTCAAGATTTATTTAAAATGTAATTATTTTTAAGATGTAATTATTTTTAAGAAAAATAGTTTTAATAAATATTTGTTTTTATTATTATTTTAAATTTGTCGTTTTAATTCGAAATTTAATGATTTTATATATATATATATATATTTGTTAAATTAATTTGTTCGATTTTCGTTTAAGAATTTTCTTCGATTATAAATCTTTGATTTTCTGGTGGTTTAAATTTTTCAATAAAAAATTTTTTTAAATTTTTATGATGTTTAAAAATTTTTTTGAAAAATATTTCGTTTTGTCTTAAATTGCTTTCATCGCATAATAATTTGCATAAAATCGATGACGAAATCATAATAAAATAAATGCAATAAAATTAAAATTTTTATTAGCTTTTTTTTATTATCGTAGTTTGTCGTTGTTTTTGTTGTTGTTTGTTTTAAATTAAATGTAAATTGTAAAATTTGCTATGCAATTTTTTATAAATTTTTTTCATTGATTTTATGGAACAAATTAATTTAAGTTAATAAATTTCTTGAGCAAGGCTCAGATTTATTTATAAGCAATTCTTTGTTTAGAAGACAAATTTCAATTGATATTTGCTAATATATTTGATATATATTGTAAATGTACTTAATGTTGTTTTATTGATTTTATAATTGATTTTTATTAATTTCGAAACTCGACAAATTTATTGTTTTTAAGTTTTTTTTCTTAAATTATTTAAAATTTTTTTCTTTATTTATTTAAAATATTTTTTTTTAAATTGTGTATAAATATATTTTTTTTGTATTTTAATTTTTTATAATTCGTGTTCGTTGAAATAAATTAGTCATATAAGTTTTATACATGCAATTAATTTTTTATTATTTTTTTTATTATTATTATTATTTTTATATAATTTTTTTTATTATTAATTCTTTCGTTCGTAGTCGCTATTTTACTGAATTTGATGTCTCAGAGCTCTTCCTTCTCTCTTTTCTTTTTAGTTACTTTATGTTTTAATTGTTTTGCGGTTTCCTTAACTGTTCCCATATAAGATATATAAAAGATCTTTTTGGCAAATCTATTATCGTTGTCGTTGCCGTTGCCGTTGTCTTTCCTTGGTGCGCCCCTTGCAAGTTAAACACCTTAACGACTTTAAGCTTATATAGTGTGTAGTATATATAAGAATTAATTTCGTGAATTTTTTTTTTTAACTTTGAAGCTGCAATGCCTTTTCTGTTAACTTCAGTTTGAAATATGTATTTACGTTCAATTCGTTTGCTGGTATATACGAAGTGGTATATATCAATATATAAAAATAAATAAATATTTTTAAATTCGTTTCGTTAGTTCTTTTGGAATATATTTTTGTTTTATTTGTTTAATTTCGCACACCGCCGCATCGATAGACTTCAGGGGTTCGATTCTCGTATTCAACTAAATTCATTTCATTTGCTGAGGCACGTTATTTGCAAAGTTTGATGAGGAAAAATTTTTCAATAAAATTACACAAAAAAATATATAGAAAAATGAAAAAAAAAATTGTATTCTTAATTTTTACGCTCTCAGAAAAGAATTATTTAAGATGCTAGCCCACACGTTCTAGTCTAGTGCAGCCCTCGTGCGAGTGAAATAAATTAAAATAAATTAGAAATAATAAAAACCAACTAAAAATGAGCGCGAAATTTATATTTATTTATAAGCACAATATACACATATATAAAGACTATAATATATAGTGTGTAGTACAAATATATATACGTATATATATATAAGTATATCCAAATTTCTTGCAGTTTTTGCATATATTTGCCAATATGTCTTTACTTTTTCAAGCAGTTTTTGCTCTATGAATAAAAGATATTCAAAGAAAAATTTGCACAAATTTTCAGTTCTAATTGAATTTTCCGCTTTTAAAAAGATTTAATTTTTATTTTTAGTTTAGTTTTTAGTTTTCAGTTTTTAGTTTTCTAAATGTGTGTACTTAATTTTTTTTTTTTTTTTTCACTTTAATGTTTTTGTTTAGCTTTTCATGTGGCTTTAAACATAAAAATGTTGGCCAAATTTTTGCAAACATTACTGTTAATTATTTATATAATATATACATATATGTTATATATATTATATGTTATGTATTTATTTTTATTTTATAAATTTTAAGCTTATTTTACTTTTAATATTCGTTTTTTGTTGATCTCATGTGCTTTAACGTGTCCAATAATTTTCTTTGATTTGTAGAGGAAGAAAAATTAGTTTCTTGTTGAAATTTTTTCGGTTCTAATGTTTTCTTTTGAAATTTATTGTTTAGCTTGAAAACTAATTTTTTATTTTTATTTTATTTTTATTTGTTTGTTTTTATTTTTCCTATTTAAAAATTAATTCATTATGTTTATTTTTTTATTTTGAAATATTTTTTCTATTTCAATTTGTATTTTCTATAAATGTCATGACAGTATTTTTTAATTGTTCAACAGGTGTGTCTGTTATGTGATGTTTATACTACAACTTAATTAGTTGATGAATATATGTGATAGAACACTAATTAACTCTAACTGCAATAAACTAAACTCATTTATGTTTGATTTTAAAATATTTTTTAATTTTACAATTTTATAGCAAATATAACAACGGGTTATCTTTGGAGATTCTTGGATATTTCTGTGGATCATTTTTTATTACAGCTCAAAAACTATATATATATTAATAACTATATATATTATATATATTATAACTGCATGCAAATATAATAAAGATTTGGCAGATCTTTGGATTTTTCTGAAGAATATTTTATACTATAAATACTTATATTTGTTACTGGGCTTAGGTCGTTTATTTAACACATAAATTTATAAAAATGTTTTTTAAATAAAATTAAAAAAAAAATTACACTATTTTAACTGTGTTTTTTCTATCGAAGTTAGGAATTCAATCCAACTCAGACTGCAGATACTGCAGGGAAGAGAGAGAAACGGCATACCATGTGCTTGGGGAGTGCCCAGCACTGATGCATAAGCGAAAGAAACACCTAGGAGGGTATTTCATGGATCATAAGGATTCAAGATTGGGGAAGATAGGATCCATACTGTTTTTCATTAAAGAAATCGGACTTGGAGAAATACTCTAACCCGACAAAGAAGCACAATAGATCTTTTAGATCGCAGTGCACGATCCCTTACTCAATAATAATAATAATAAAACTGTGTTAAATATTTATTTATATTTTAATTTTTATAGAAAATTATTTATATTACAAATATTTCGGTCTACTTCGTACACCATCTTCAGTGTACGTAAATTTTTGTTGTTGTCTTTTTATTTCTATTTAAATCCTTCTAAGTTTTAAATAGTTACTTTTCGTCTTAAGACGCCTCACTTACAACAAAAAAAATTAAAAATAATAAAAAAAAATGTTAATAAAACAAATAAAATAAATGTTTGATTCAAAACAGCTGTTATCATCAAATATTTCAACTAATCTACATTACATCTACATTAAAACCAGCCATAAATTTTTCTTTTTAATTGTATAGTAAATTTTTATTTCTGAAAAT